TGCTGGCTGGGGAATTCTGGGAGTTGAAGTCCACGCATCTTAAAGTGGCCAAGGGTGAGAAACGCTGTTCTAAACTGACTGCACCGAGCGCACACTGCTGCAGGATTCACACGCTCTGAAGGCCTTCCAGTGGATGCCCCAAATAAAACCGAGCAGACTTGCAAGCCCCTCGGTTCTGGGTGTTGTTGGGTCACAGTCAGGGGTCTTGCACGGGAGGAAGCTGAGTGTGGGCATCTTTGTAATCTTGCCTCTGGCCCAGCATTGTGTGGCATCAGGCAGCCCCTCGATTGACGTTAGGCATCGAACCACAGCCGAACATGAGATGGGATTCTGAGTCCCTGCCGGAAATCCAATCCCCCAGCAGACCTGCTTGGCTGAACTGGGGCCCAGGCGCCTGGGGGAATCTGCCTTGGCCTGATCCAGCCCAGCTCGTGCTGCAAACAGGCTGAGCTCAGGCCAAAAAGCTGCTGGGCCCCCAAGTCCAACCACCACTCATGGCTTATTCCACAAGCCACGGCTTTGTGTGGGATCAGAATTGCATACTGCAGCCCACGAGGGATGGTCAGCCTGGCAGGTCTGTCGGCCCAAAACCCACCCCCCAAAAGTGTCTTTGTAGCCTGCAGAAGAGCCCCCCAGAGGTTAGAATGAGGGAGGAGACAGGAAAAGGCCTTCCTGCGCCCAACCCTATGACTGTTTCCCAAGACATGCCGCGAATCCCACCTGTAGGCTGGCCAGGTTTCCATGTGTCGTGTGAAGCCAGGTAACTGGCCAAACCAAGCAGTGGGGAAGCCTATTGTAGGAACCAGCCCGCCACCATCAGGGTTTGCAAGAGGCCCCTTCCCAAAAGCACCACTGCTCAGCGCTGGATCGAGAGGTAACCTGGTCCAAGGCCACCTTCAGGGGCCTCACCAGCACTCCCTGGCAGCAGCTAGCAATCTTGGCCGATCCCCCAAACCAGCAGGATTGAATCTGATTATTAGGGGGGGAGGCCACAAGGATATCTGAAGGCTACAGGCTCTCCTGAGAAAAGCCCTCCGCAGAAGAAGAGACAGCTGGGCCCTTCGGTACTGTTGCTGTGATAACGGCGTGGATGGGCCCACGGAGCGTCCAGGAGCCAGACGTGGCTGGAAGCCTCTTTAACCAGCCCTCCCGCTGCACCTATTTGTGGTGTTTTCATCACATAGGCCTGGGGGGGGGGGGCCTTTTTCGCCCCCCCTTTTTAGGAGGGCCTCCCTCTCCCCAATCTGGGTTCCCCCCCTGGGCCCCCCCCCCCCAGAGCAACGCAACACA